TGAGCCCAGGAGTTTGAGGTTGCTGTGAGCTAGGATGATGCCACAGCACTCTAGCCCGGGCAACACAGTGAGACTCTGTCTCAAAAAAAAAAAAAAATTGGTTGTATGAAGCCTTTCTTTTCTAAAGGTGGATGAGGCACAGGATACTTACTCATTATCAAGATGTCATGACATAGCTAGACATGGTGGTGCACACCTGTAGTCCCAACTACTCGGGACGCTGAGGCAGGAGGATCTCTTGAGCCCAGGTTTAAGATTGCAGTGAGCTGTGATGATGCCACTGCACTCTAGCCAGGGCGACAGAGTGAGACTCTGTCTCAAAAAACAAACAAACAAACAAAAAACAAAAAAACCCTGATAGAACTGCAAGGAAAAATAGATGAATCTACTATTATAGTTGGAGATTTCAATACTTCTTTATCATAAATGGACAGATCCAGAAGGCAGAGAGTCAGGAAGAACATAATGGAACTCACCATCACCATCAATTAACTGGAGGTAATTGACAACTATAGACTACTTCATTCGACCACAGCAGAACATGCATTCTTCTTGAGCTCACATGGAACATTCACCAAGATATACCACATTCTGGGCCATCAAACACACTTTAACATATTTAAAAGATTAGAAATCATACAGTGTTTGCTCTCAGACCACAGTGACATTAAATTAGAAATCAGTAACAGAAAGATAGCTGGACAATCCCAAAATACTTGGTCCATAAACAACATACTTATAAATAACATGTGAGTTGAAGAAGAAGTCTGAAGAGAAATTTTAAAATATTTTGAAGTAAATGAAAATACAGCTTATCAAAATTTGCAGGATGTGGTGAAAGCAGTAATTAGAAATTCATAGCATTACATATGTTAGAAAAGGGAAAAGATCTAAAATTAATAATCTACACTCCATATCAGGAAACTAGAAAAGAAGAACAAATTAAACCTGGAGTTTAATTTGCACAAGAAAAGAAATAATAAAAATTAGAGCAGAAGTCAACGAAGTTGAAAGCAGGAAATCAACAGAGAAAATCAACAAAACCAAAAGATGGTTGTTTGAAAAGATCAATAAAATCAATAAGCATCTAGCTAAACTGAGAAAAAGAGAGGACACAAATAACTAATATCAGAAATGAAAGAGGGTACATCACTACAGAGATGTCCCATGGACATTTAAAGGATAATAAATAATATTATGGACAACTCTGTGCCCAGAAATTTGATAACTTAGATGAAATGAACCAATTCCTTGAATGACACAATCTCCCAAACACAAGAAGAAATAGGCAATTTGAATAGGTCTATATCTGTTAACGAAATTGAGTCAGTAGTTAATAACCTTACAAAACAGAATCCACCAGGCTCAAGTGGGTTAACTTATTAATTCTACCAAACATTCAAAGAAGAAATTACACTATTTCTCTACAATCTCTTCTAGAAGATAGAAACAGAAGGAATACTTCCTGATTCATTCTATGGAGCCAACATTACCCAAACACTGAAACCAAAGACATTACAAGTAAAGAAAACTTTAGACATTATCTCTTACGAACATAGATGCAGAAATCCCCAATATAATATTAGCAAATCAAATCCAACAATGTATGTACAGAATTATACAGCATGACCAAGTGGAATTTATCCCAGGTATACAAGGATGCTTCAACATTAAAAATCAATTAATGTAATCTACCACATCAACAGACTAAAGAAGAAAACTCACATGATCATATCAAGAGATGCAGAAAAAGCATATGACAAAATCCAACATCCATTCATGATAAAAACTCAACAAGCTAGGAGTAGAGGGGAACTTACTCAACTTTTTAAAAAGCACCTACAAAAAACGATACCTAACAGCATATTAGGTCATTAAGTATGAAATGTCTGGTTTTCAATCAAAAGTTTATTATATCTCAAACAAGAAGCAGTACAGTTAATCAAAGTATGTGCCTAAACTAGTGACACAGTTTTGCCATCTTAACAATAGCTTGTTTATGCCATTAACGAAGAGGCCTGGAGAGCAAGTGTTGATGAAATCACAAAAGGTGTTTTCCAGAGCTTGTTGAGAATTGAATATTTTTCCTTGCAAGAAGTGGTCCAAAGCCTGGAAGAAGTGATAGTCAGTTGGTGCACGGTCTGGTGAATATGGTGGATGACAAGAGAGCTTCCAAGTCCAGCTTCTGTAGTTTGAGCAGTGTTGTTTGTGCAATGTGTGGTTGAGGTTATCTTGCGAGATGATTGGTCTGTCTCTGTTGATCAATCTCATCTGCTTAATTGCAAGCATCATAATTTTGTCCAATTGGTTGCAGTAGACATCTGCTGTAATCGATTGACCAGGTTTCATGAAGCCGTAATGGATGATACCAGCGCTGGACCACCAAACAGACACCATTAGCTTTTTCTGATGAATATTTGGTTTGGGGCTTTGTTTCGGCATTTCACCTTAATCCAACCATTGTGCCAAACGCTTGTCATTGTCAAAAAGAATCCATTTTTCATCACATGTAACAATACAGCGTAGAAATGGTTCTCCTTTGTATTGTAACAGCAGCAAAAGGCAAGCTTTGTGGCGATTTCTCTTCTGACGTTCATTTAATTCATGTGCAACCCATCTATCCAGCTTCTTTATTTTGCCAATTTGTTTCAGATGGTCCAATATTGTTGGAATAGTAACATCAAACCTTGCTTGCTAATTCACGCGTAGGTTGAGATGTATTCACTTCCACTACAGTTTTCAGCTCATCATTATCTACCTTCGTCTCAGGTTGCCCACATGGCTCATTTTCAAGATTAAAAATCACCAGAATAGAACTTCTCAAACCATCGTCGTACTGCGCGTTCATTAGCCACATCCTTCCAAAGCACTTCATTGATATTTCGAGTTGTCTGTGCTGCATTGGTTTTATGACGGAATTTGTATTAAAAAATAACACCAATTTTTGACTTATCCATGGTTTCACAAAAATTGCCCTAATAAAAGTGAAAGATAATCACAAGCCAAAATGTGTGTTTGAAAGACCGAAGATGTACCTTCACAATAAAAATAAAACAAATGTCAAAGTGAAATATCAGAGATCTCAACTCTCAAACTTAGTACATAAGGAAATTGGAGATTTCATACTTAATAACCTAATAATTAGTGGTAAGAAACTTGAAGCTTTCCTGCCAAGATCAGGAACACTGCTTTTCAACATTGTACTAGAGGTCCTAGCTGATGCAATAAGACACAAAAAGGAAATAAAAGCTATAGATATTGAGAAGGAAGAAATAAAACTGTCTTTGTTTATAGATGACATGATCATCTATGTGGAAATCTGAATGAATCAACAAAAATACTCCTGGAACTAGGTCTCGAACTCCTAGCCTCAAGCAATTCTCCTGCCTCAGCCTCCCAAAGTGCTAGGATTACAGGTGTGAGCCACTTCGCCCAGCCTTATAAGTGATTTTAGCAAGGTTGCAGGATATAATAAGGTTAATATACAAAAGTCAGTCACTGTCTTTATACCAGCAATGAACATGTGGAATTTGAAATTAAAAATATATTGTAGTTTACATTAGCACCAGCAAAAACAAAATAACTTAGGTATAAATCTAACAAAATATATAATCTATATGAGGAAAAATACAAAACTCTGATGAAAAGATAT